GGCGGCGGCGGGCACCGGGCGGCCGGGGCGGGAAGCGCGGCCAAGTCCGCGGGAGCTCGCAGGCCCCGGGCCCATCACCCCCTATCCCGCCTCCCCAGCCAGACGTCCTGGGTCCGCACAGGGCCAGTGTTCTGCCGCGACACTCCCACGTGGCTGGCCCCGGTCCTGGCGGCTTCGATATCAGCGGGGCAAGGACTGCACACCCGAGGTCCTGGGGAGGACTGCGTGGTGATCCCCCTGGGGGTGGCAGCACTGTCCCTTTCACTGTCTCCAGTGGGCACAAGCCCCTAAGGCAAAAACCTCTCCAAAAAAGTCCTGACGCTCTGCCGGGCGGGTGTGAGTGTGGGCGTGGGTGGCTCCAGAGGCTCAGACAGGCCTGTGCAGCTGCTGGAGGCTCTGCTGAGACCAAGTGCCCCGTGGGGCCGTGTCCAGGCGCAGCGGCATGCTGAACTGTCAGAATGTGGAGGGACCAGTGAGCAGGAAGCCGCATGGCTGGTGGCCCAACCTGTGGTCAGGAAAGCCCTGCTCCACTGCTGGCTTGCTCTCCACTGCAGCATTGTGGAGGCACAGGCTGCCTGCCCCCATCCTAGGGCCACAGCCCCTCCACCCTGACTGCCCAGCATGCTTCTGCCGGCTCCACCTGGAGATCCAAGGAGGCTGGCAGGTGGCCTGTGGTTGCTCTGGGCAGAAGCCAAGCCGCCTAGCTGAGCTCCCAGGACTGCATAAACCCAGGTGAGCATTTACTGACCCTCGGGGCCAGAGCACCCCAGGCACCAGCAGACTGAGGAAAGGCCCGAGCACTGCTCAGATGGCTGATGGCAGTGAGTGTGGGCCCTCAACTCCACTCAGGAGTGAACTGCACCAGAACACCACGGGCAAAGAGGGAAGCAGAGCACGTGCGCCGGGTGATCCCACGCTTTACTTGTGGTTCGGACCCCCAGGCCGGCCACGCTCCCGGGGCTCCTGCCACTCCGGAGAGCTGGCGGTCTGCCACGGGAGGGTTACAGCAAATGATTCTGATTCCCAACCCTCCCTGCCTCCCCCAAAAAAACTGTACATGAGTTTACAAACATATCAACATATAAATAATGAGAGCCGTCCTGGGCGCCTCCAGTCGTCCCTGCTGGAGGTGAACACCAGAGGGGCACTGTCCCCACAGGCTGCCGGCAACGCTGGAGTCTTGTGGCGGCTGGTCCCGGCCTGCTGCCTGCTCTTGGGGCCTCCAGGTCCAACCACGTCTGTCCCATGCCCCAGGAGGCGCCGGACGCTGTGAGCTGGGCACCCGTCACCGCTCCGGCTCGAGCTCATGCTGAGAGGGCCGCTTCCTCTCCCGGCAGTGCCTCTTGTGGGCGGGCCAGTCCCTCTGCTGGCACTGGGAGCCACAGTAGCGTGCTGCCTGGCAGCGCCCGCAGATGTTGAACTCGCGGAGCTGAAACAGAGCACCCGGCGTCACCACTCCACCTGGTGGCACCTGGGGCTGCGAGGACCCAACAGAGCCCTGCGCCCCAGGCAGCCCTGCTGCAGTGAGGGGAGGCCCGCTGTGGAGAGCACGGGAGTGCCCAGGGCGTACCTGCTTCTCGATGACCGTGCAGGGTGGGTAATGGCACTCGTAGTAGGTGCAGGAGTTCTCCTCCTCCTCTACCACGTCCCCATTGGCGTTGTAGTACCGGGTGACGTTCAGCACAGGGAACTGCTCCTCTATGGGGTCCGTGGGGAGCTGCTGAATGGCGAGCCAGTACAAGCTTTGCTCCCTTAAAGAAAGCAGCAGGCAGCTCAGCGCTGTAGCCGTGTGGCTCCGGGCCCTGATCTCTGGCCTGGGGCACCCGCCTCATGGTCCGCACACTGAGCACATTCTGCCGCCCACCAGCATACACGTGCCAGGGTGGGTGGGTGCGCGGTGCCCTGCTGCCCCCCCATGCCAAGCTGCCCTCAGGGGAGCGGGTCCCTGAAGCTGCAGGACCCTGAGGTGGTCAGGGGCCTGGGAAAGGCATGTGAGGCCCCCAGGCCTGTGCTGGGCTGGACTCCAGGGCAGCACCCTTGCCCTGCGCTGCCAGCCAAATGGAAGCCAGACTTGGAGGACTTGCTAAGGGAGGATGGGACCAGGGCTGGCCTAGGTTGCATCACTGGACTCCCAGTTGGAATTCCTGTCTCTCTCTCCTTGACGGCTTAAGATTCACCCTGGGTGCACGTGCGTGCATGCCCAAGATTCCAAGAGGAGAACAGAGAAGGGACTGCAGTGTGGCCCTCCCCCCAGGGGGTGATTCCTCACTTTCTGTCTCCCTGTCTCTCCAGCAACCTTAAGACAAAAACTTTGAAAAAAAAAAAAAAAAAAAAAAAAAAAAGGGCAGGACTGGTGGTGGCCTAACAGTTACATCACTGAACTCCCACTTGGTCAAGCACGATTTGAGTCCTGGACCTGACAGCGTGAAAATCATGCTAGCATACGTGTGCATGCCCAGATCCCAGGAGAGCAGTGTGGCCATCCCCCGGGGGTGGTTTCTCACTTTCCCTCTCACTGTCTGTCTCTCAGGCACCCTAAGGCAAAAAACCCTCTTAAACAAATAAAAAGGGAAGCGGGGGGCTCGCCCGCTCCTGTTTTAACATCCTACAGGAGGAGCGGGGGAAACACACTCCTGCCAAGGCCTGTTCCAGCCGACCTCACGGCCCAGCCAGGGTGTGAGGAGCCTGTGTCCTGCTCCTGGCTGACAAGGGTTAGTGGCCTGATCTCAAGGCGCCAGCCCATAACTGAGGGTCCAGGCTGGCTGGACTGCAGGCCCTACGCTGGTCTGACGGCTGCTCCTGGCCTGGGCGTCCACCCAGTGGGCCTCACACCTACAGGGCAGGCTCCTCCTGCTAACATCTGCTTGTGGCAGATAGCAGGCGCACACAGGGAGGAGAGGGCCACCATAAACACGACCCTTCCCCTCTCCACTGCCAGGTTCCAGCATGGAGTACATGCCCTGCACGTCTGTAAATGACCGGGCCAGGCCCACCATGGTCAGCCGGGTGCCCTGCACGTCAGGGTCAGCTGCCTACTGGTTCCAAAACCCTGAGCAAAGATGGATGCGTCCTCGTCCAACCCAGGCCCACTTCCCCAGCAGGAGGGGCTAGGACCCTCAGCCCAGTGCCTAGAAGTATAACTGCCCCTTTCCACACGAGTGTCCTCAGCCTCCATCAATGACAGAGGAGGTCCAGGGTAAAGCAGAGACCTGGCAGGATGACAGGGTGGCCCTCCACACCGTGGGTCCTAGCGGCAGCTCACTTGAGTGCAGGCACAAAGTATTCAAGAGAAAGGCAATGAAGCATAAGGCAGAGGCATGGCAATGCCCCAGGGAGGGTGGGTCCCAGGCCCACGGTGCGAGCCTGCCAGCCTGGACACACCGGGCACGTGCGTGGCCACCCAGACCTGCTGGCTGCAGGGGCCAAGACAGCCATGCCCTGTGGAGCACCTCTCTGCACCTGCCCAACGTGCAGTGTTCCCATGAGCGCATGAAGGTCACAGAGCAAGAGGCAGACTTAGCGAAGGGGAAGCAGCATGTGCCAAGGCCACAGGTGAACGCTGTGCCACCCTGTGCCACTCTGCTGTGGGGCGGCAGCTCTGATGCCTGCCGGTGGGGACATATCCTGGTGTCTGCCCTAAACCGGACAGCGAGGCCAGGCCTGGGTGCTGGTCCTGCCCGCCGAGCGCCCTGCCCTACTGCCAACATCACAGCTTGGTTCCTCTGGGCAGACCCCTCCCCAGCCCCAGCACAGGGAAGTGACCAAACTGGCCCTGGGATGTCCCTCGAGGTCCCTGAGGCTCCCGCCTCATTCTGTGGAGCCTTCTGACTCCCTGAGCAGAGCCCACAGGGGGCTGCAAAGACCCCGCACTCCGCGTGTCTGCTGGGCCGGCAGTACGTGCCCTGCCTGTGCTGCAGCTAAACTGACCTGTTTCTGTGACCAAGAAATGGCCAGCCTCACACAAACAGAATGAAGGAAGTGCAGGGTCAAGACTCACACCGGAGCCCGCTCGACACCGGCAGGGGGCCTGAGGGCTATTCTGCATACTGTCAACGCCGGTCTAGTCTCGAAGATGACAACAGTAGATCCCAGCCCCAGCACTGTGACCCGCCAGCACCAGAAAGGCAGCCCAGAGATGAGAACACGGGTCCACCTGGCTCAGCTCAGTGCCCATCTCATCCAGCCCATCTTTCTAAGGCTCCAGAAGCTCTTAGCGGGGCTGGTGTGGGGACAACCGTCACATGTGGGAAGCCAAGACAGAGCCCCTGCACCCCCGTCCTGCTTCCTTGAACCACTGTCAAGGACAGGACTGAGGCGCCTGTGCACAGGGAGCAGGCCGAGGATGGAGAGGCCACACTTCTTAGCAAGAGCAGGCGCTCCAACTGCAGGCCCTACACCCGTTCCATCTCTCCTCATCACGTCAGCTATAGAGAGGCTCCCAGAACGGCCCAAGGGCCCAGCAGGTGGTGTGGTGGTTAAGGCGTTGGACTCTTACGTGGCCGACCGTCATTTAAGTCCCATACCTGGCAGCTTGCTTTCTTACTTTCCCCGTCTCTCTCTCTCTCTTTCAGTTTGTCCCTCTTCGGTCAAAATTTTAAAAATAAATAAAGTTAAATAAAGTAATTCTTTTTTTTTAATTTTTAAAGAATTATTTTATTTAACTTTATTATTATCATTATTATTTTCCAGTTTGACCAGAGAGAGACAGAGAGAGAGAGAGGAAGTGAGAAAGCAAGCCACCAGGTCCGAGACTTGAACCATGGTCGGCCATGTGGGAGTCCAGCGCCTTTAACCACCATGCCACTTGCCAGCCCCAAATAAAGTAATTCTTTAAAAAAAAAAAGGGGGGGGCGGCCCAAAGAGATAATCAAGAACCTTGCTGAACCAGCAGATGGCATAATGGTTACATCACTGGACTCCCATGTAGTTGACCATGGTTCAAGTCCCAGACCTGGTGACTTAAAACTCACCAGGAGCATATGCACATGTGCCCAAGATCCCAAGAGGAGAACGGAGGAGAGGGGACTACAGGTGTGTTCATCCCCCCAACAGAGGACTTCTCCCCTCCTGTCTCTGTTTCTCCAGCAAGTACACACGCCCTTCCCAGGGTCAGCAGGTGGCATGGTGGTTGGGGCACTGGACTCCCACATAGCCAACCACAGTTCAAGTCTCAGACCTTGCAGCTTATTTTCTTGCTTTCCCTTTCTCTCCCTCTCCCTGGTTGAATTAAAACACAACAGCAACAACAATAAATGGAATTAAATAAATTCTTTCCTTTTTTATAAGAGTTCTTTTGCTATAGGGTGGGGGTAGCCATGCCATGATCCCTTCTCCTCCATTCTCCTCTCAGGATTTTGGACAGGCACTCACACACACATGCCCAGTGTGAGTATAAGCTGCTGGGCTGGAGATTCAAACCAAGGTGGACTACATGGGAATCCAGCGACCATTATGCCACCTGCTGGTCCCAAATAAATTAAGTCTTTTTTTTTTGGAGAGAGATTTTTGCCATAGGGCACTTGCCAGACAAACAGAGAGAGACAGACAGACAGAAAACAAGAAATCACACCCCAGGGGGGTTGGCCACACCACAATCCCTTCTCCTCCATTCTCCTCTCGGGATCTTGGGCACACATGCACATGAGCCTGGTGTGAGTCTAAGCCACTAGGTCTGGGACTCGAACCGCGGTCGACTACATGGGAGTCCAGCGACATAGCTATCACGCTAGTTCCAATAATTCTTTTTTTTTTGGGAGAGGTTTTTGCTATAGGGCGCGTGTGGCTCGCCAGAGAGAGAGACAGAAAGCGAGAAATCACCCCCCAGGGGGGATGGCCACGCCGCAATCCCTTCTCCTCCATTCTCCTCTCAGGATCTTGGGCACGCACGCACGCATGCACACGCACCCAGCGTGAGTTTTAAGCCACTGGGTCCGGGACGCGAACCGCGGTCAACTACGTGGGAGTCCAGCGACATAGCTATTACGCTAACTGCTGGTCCCCCAATAATTCTTTTTTTAATAGGATATTTTTTTTAAGAATTATTTATTTAACTTTATTTATTCAGTCTTTTCTTTTCTTTTCTTTTTTTTAATTTGACCAAAGAGAGACAGAGAGGGAAAGTGAGAAAGCAAGCCACCAAGTCTGGCACTCGAACCATGGTTGGCCATGCAGGAATGTCCAGCACTACACCACCTGCTGGTCCCAATTAGTAATCCTTAAAAAATAAATAAATAAAAGGGACAAGCAGATGGCATAATGGCTACAACGCTGGACTCTCATGCAGTTGACCACAGTTCAAGTCCCAGATCCGGTAGCTTAAACTCATGCCAGGCACATGTATGCACATTCATGCCTAAGATTCTGAGAGGAAAATGGAGGAAAAAGGACTGCAGCATGGCCATCCCCCCTGGGGGGTGATTTCTTGCTTTCTATCTCTCTGTCTCTTTCTGGAGAGCGCACACGTGGTATAGCAAAAACCTCTCAAAATAAAAAAAAGAAACCTTTCCACTCCCTTGAAGAAAAGGAGGATCGTACATTCCGGGATAAAACAATCCAGGTCCCAAAACACGCAGACGAGTTGGGACAGAGCAGGATCATGGGCCCATTTCGTTGTCACAGGCCCTGGCCTGGCCCCCTGGCGGGGCCACACCCACCTCTGCTTGCTGGAGGTCTCTTCAGCTTTGGGCCGCCAGCCCCAGGGCACCAGCTGCAGGTTGTCCAGACGGTTGTCCACAGTCACAGCATTGAGATGCACCACCTGGAATCCGGGGGCCACGCCGCCCCTGTGTCGCTCCCTAGGAAACAGACAACACTCTAGGCTGCCACTTCGACCCTCGCAGCCATCTGCTCAGCCATGACAGGCCAGTTGGAAGGAACAGCAGCCACGTGGTCTGGGATGGGCCCTCATGACGGGGCCCACTGGATGGGCCCTCGGACTGCCGAGAGGAGCCCAAGTGCGTCAGTCTGTGGCCCAAACAGGACGGGCCACATGATGACTCAGGCCCTGGGCTCAAGAGTGAGGCCCAGTGAGCCAAGGGTGAGCCCTAGCCCCACATAGGTATTGTGGAGACAGCTTCCATGGAGCAGTCCCGAACATTTCAGAGCCTCACAGGCATAAGGAGGAGGCAGCTCACTCCCCAGGAAGGCGGCCCCTCATCTGTTCCCAACAGGAAGAGCGCAGACCCCACTCTCCTCCATAGTCCCCAGAAGGCCTGCTCGCTGCTTGTAGCCCCGTGACATGCAGCTGGCCACTGCTCTGGCTAGTCACAAGAGTCATGGGAGTGACTGCGAGGGTCAGACTGCATGTGCCCCACTGCCGTGGGCCCTGCACACTCATAGCTCATGCAGGTAGAGAGGAAGCTGCAAGGGGACCTACCACAGCAGCTCGTGGAGGAGGCGTCCGGACCCCCGGCCTCTGTTCTTGTCGAAGGCGTACGCGAAGATCTTGGCCCCATTTCCATCTGCATCCACCTCCATCCGGGCCTGGGAAGGGGTGAGGAACAACGTCACAAAGCCCCCAGCAGCCATATGGCAGCGCAGTGGTAAAAAGGGACAGGCGAGGCAGAGCTGCACGGGGAAGTGACTGGTGCCCGGAGACCTCCTTGAGCATACTAGGCACCTCCGGTCCATGATCCAGGGTTGGCAGGGGGGTGGACTGTGGTGACACCCTTTGCGGTGCCCTGTCTCTGTGTCTCTGTCACTCATGGAATAAATCAGTAAACTTTACAAAAGCCTCAGAGAAATGAAGTAGTCGGAGGACAGAGGCCAGGCCTGTTCCTAGGGCGCGGGGGCCTGTGGGGGCACTGGGCACAGAGGCGCACCTAGCTTCCCTCCAGAACCCACTACTGTGAGAGCACGGATTGGCAGGACAAAGGCTGGCCCCCCGCCCCGCCCTGCCCCGCGGCAGCCAAGCACCCCTTACCTCAAAGGAGTAGCTCTCCACCAGCGGGATGTCCTGCTCATCTATCAGCGTGTATTTGGTCTGGAAACCGAGCACACATTTCGAACCGTTACCCCGGGGGTGACACGGGCAGGCTGCACCTTCCCTGAGGCGGGAAGTGTCCACACCTCCGCACACCGAGACGGGTCAGCCAGCCAGGGCCTCGCTCTGCTGCGCTTGGCACTGCAGTGCAGGCAGACACGCTTAAAGCCAGTTATTACCCACGGTAGTCTACACAGAGGCTCAGGTCCACGCTGGACTAACCCCAACAAGTGGCAATGAACTTTTTTTTTTAAGAGTGCTACAGGGCATGTGTGCTCACCAGAGACCGAGAAACAGAAAGCGAGAAATCACCCACAGGGGGCATGGCTCCCTGCAATCCTTTCTCTTCCATTCTCCTCCTGGGATCCTGGGCATGCACGCGTGCACATACACATGCACCTGATGTGTTTCAAGCCGCTGAGTCTGGACTCTACATGGGAGTCCAGCAATGTAACCATCAAGCCATCTGCAGCCCAGCAGTGAACTTTCAGTGTACCAACAAGCCAACTGGGAAACAGAGCTGGTTCCAGCCGCTGTTGGGCCTGAGCAGGAGAGCAGGCACGGTGCTTGCTGGATCACCCCAGCTTTGTGTGACACAGGCCAGACAGGAGCCATCACGGTCATGTGGATGTGATCATCAACTGGAAAGGGACAACGGGAGTCTCCACCCCTCCTAATAAGAAAGCCACAGCCCCAACAGCCCCTGCCCAGGAAGGAGGTGCAGGACGTGGCTGCCCAGGCGGCCGAGTCACCCCTGGAAGTGTCTCTCCGGGGCCTGACCCTCCACCTCAGTCTGAGACCCTGCCTCCGCTCCTCTCTCCCACCTGAAGCTGCCGCTGCTGGTGGTGGGAACAGGTTCCCGTCCAGGGTAGGTCCCTAGCTGGGGCAGTTGCCTGCTGGCTCCTGGAAGAGCCACGTCTCAATGCCCACAGGTGCCACGGGAGCAAGGCTCAGACACAGACTGAGGCCAGACTGAGGGGTGGAGGCCAGAGGTGCAGGGAGAAGCCGAGGGAGGCCCTCCGAAGCGCAGGGTGCAGCCAGCCTGGCCACCCCGAGCACTCCCCACTGGGCCGCCCAGGCAGGTGTTTGGTGAGCGCTCTGGAAAGCGCGCCGCGCTCAAACCGCGGCCGCAGGTGCAGGCCGGCCGCGCTAGCCCGGCTCGCAGGAACCACCGAGGGCTCAGGGCTGCGGGCCACGCTTCCCGTTCGCAGTCGGCCCGGTCGCGGCCTTTCACTCCCCGCGGGCCCGGGCCGGGC